ACACACACACACATACATACATTAGAGCAAAAGGATCTTCATTTTCATGTTCATCGAGTTAATTATCATCAGCACCAACACACAGCAGCCACTCCACTCGAGGGAGCAACACTGAGACTCACTGTTAGAGGTTTCCATGCAGCTTGTTAACATCAGGTACCTGTAAATTAAAAAAATTTACCTATTTGACTGGAAAATTATTGTAAATGATTATTTATTGATATGGAGAGTTTTATTTCAAAGAGACGGTTGAATATGAAAAACAATGAGTCACTCTTGCAGGATAGGAATGACATCAAAATGAAAACAAACAACTGTTCAATAGAGAAGGTCTTGACAACAGATCTTCACTGTTGGACGGTGCTTTTTATAGTTACATTACAGCTTTTTGGGTGGTATTATGGCAATTATTATCAGATATGAGGAAGATGTATGGTCTTTGTAGCACTGAAGACAGAGGTAGCTGGCACTAGAAAACTTCAAAGGGGATATTCAAGAAGCCGATCGATGGGCTGGAGTACGTGCAAAACAAAACAAAAAAGGTGATTATTAACAATAGCACTAACCAAACAGAGGCAAAATGAGCCCCTGGACACAAAGTATTATTAAATATTATTACTAATATAATATAAGATTTCTGTTTTGCTCACAGTTCATCTATGGACATATACCTTGTACTTTTCCTTACTCAACTTGACAGCGTCCAGTCACTCACCACTTAGATCACTGTTCCCAAATAAGCACATGATCTAACATCACCTAAGACACACAAAACAAAAAAACAACATAGGAAACATTATCACAGCAGGACCAGAGCTCTTCAGCAGAACATAACCTTGCCTGTTCTTTTACTATAATAAAATATAATAATTTTTAGATAATTTAATAGATTAACTGAAACACTGTGTTGAAATTGATGATAAACACACAAAAGCAGCGTTGGGAAACAGGGCAGAGTGAAAAGGAAGAGAAGAAACCTTTTCTAAGGTGGAAAAAGAAGGCAAAAGACAAACCACAGAGATCAAAAAGATTTTGGAAAAATGAAAGAGAAATCAAATACATCTGGTAAGGTGCAATGGTCAGAATTAGTGCTTGATTGATTATGTAATGTTGTTACATCCTTTTCCTGATTATATTCACATAAGAAAGTTCATTGATCACATTGATAATGAAAACATTCATTGTTCCACATTTCATTAAACTAAAATTTGGTTAAAACTTGCAACAACTTGAGTGAAAACATATAACTGATCTGTCAGGGATCTGCAGATGATTTGGAGATGCATGTTTGTTTGAGTCCTGTCCCACTAAAACCAAAGCAGAGTAAAGCTAATTTATTTCATATAACAAGGCTTATTCACAGAGGAGATTCTGAAATGTCACAGTAAGAAAAGAACACGTGTAAATAATAAAACCAACAATAGCTGCTTCAGTTTCACCACCCTTGTATGTGCATCTGGCTCACTGTCACACTGTCAAGAGCCATCTTTGATCTTATTAGTAACACCTGAGTCTTTTCACAATGACAAGTCAAATAGTTTGTTCTGAAAAGGGCCCAAAAATGGAACAAAAAAGACACAAAAATAATGTTTAAAAAAAGAGGAGAACATTATAACAGTGAGCTAAACACACAGCCATGACATCGTGTTGTGTAAGGTGGTAACTTAGTGGTGAGATATAATCATCCTAGGAAAAGGTTAAAGGGCAAATGTGTTGCTTTGGAAAAATGATCCCTTGAAAAAATATTCTTGGCTACTGAAATAGGTTTCTAAACTATCTATCACTCTGTGTTGCTCCCGTAAACACACACCCTCAGCGAGGTCACAGTTCAGACAGCTGGATAATAACATTACAACTAATGGACTCTCATCTGTTTATTCATAAAGGTTTCCTCTCTCTTTACTCTCTGTGTGTATGTGTGTGTGTGAGCAGGCAGAGAAGACCGTTTTCAGCGGTTTCACGTTGCGTCTCCGGGGACGCTGTGGTGACTATACCCACAGTGCTTTGCTGCACAGGCAGGTCTGTGTGGGAGTGAGCTAGTAGTTTTATTACATTACTGTCAGGCACAGAGACGCACTGTGGCACAGCATCAGGATGCACACTAATCCACCACAAACTAGATGTGTGTATAATATGTGAGTGTGTGTGTGTGGCTGTCCTTACCTGTCCTTACATTTCCTGTTTTAAATCTATTAAAAGTACTATTTTGATTTCTTCTGTGGTTATTTGAATGAAAACATACGTGTTTGTGTGTTTTTATTAAAGAAACAGAGAGTGTGTATTGTGAGTATGTGTGTTGTACATTGTTGGCTTGTGTCTGCTTTTGATATCTAAATCATCAACAGGTCACAGGTGCCAGATGACAGCAGAATGTGCTCATGGGAACTGCGGCGTGGATAGAGAAGCCCGGACAGACTGCTCCTGACAGCTGGCCAATCAACTCTGCTGAAAACCTTTCCCTTGATGACATCACCAGACCTCAACCGTTGAGCTGCCCGTCTGACTTTCTCCGTCGCAAAATGCAATGAAATGCCGTTTTAAGTCAAGTTTAAGAAACGTAAGCATGGTGAGATAGAAATTATTTCTGTATATTTATCTATGGTACCTAACATAAGTTTCCAAATATTACTGAAATGTTAGCTTTTGTATATGGAAGGAAACCAGGTAGACATATATGTTGAAGGTTGCTCTGTTTTTCTAATTCCAAGACCTCTGGAGCACAAAGACGACATGATACCAGCTGAGAATTTCCAGCCTTTGACTTGCATGACATCATTCAGCCCAGAAAGGAAACAACACTGCCTAGCAACAAAAAGTTGTTCCAACATAATTTATTCCCTTTTGGGAGGACCATTAAAATCTGTTGACAGTGTTTTTAAAATCTCAAAGGGCCAGATTCAAGCCAGAAACTGTACATGTTGATTACACCTGAAACTATGCAATAGTGGGGCGTTGTTGTGGTTCTCAAGTCACCATGTCAGTTCTAAGCTGTTCCACTGAAGATTTTCTTTTTACAGGTGTGCACTGGATATTTAAATAACGTTTAGGGGCCCAAAGAGGTAAAATTATCCATTAATTAACAGGTAAAAAAAAATATTAGAGGAAAGTCTATAATAAATCTGCATGATTTTGTGTGGTGGAAATACGTTTTTTGTTTTCTGCTTTCCTATCCGGTTAAATATCTGGCAACTCACTCTCGACCCCCAGGTTTGGAACCACTACTGTAACAGACAAATAATGTATGTTCATTATTGAATGTGTCTAATAAAAAACCTGTGAAAATTTAAATTAATAAACTGTAAAATTGTAAAATAAAATCTTACAGATCAAATATTTCCCAAAGTTCCTGTAAACATTATACACATCCCACAAAACAGGAGGCGACCTCTGTGGGCTTCTTTTATTATATTTTTTCTATTATTTTGTATGACATGTTAAAATACAGTCCCATAACAGAGCGCACTGACAAAAACTGAAGAGGTTATTATATATTATTATTAAATGTAGCTAAATATAAAATTATGTTTGAGTGCATTGTTACATATGGGGATTTTTTTGTTAGTATGTTGTTGTAAGCTATGTCTGTGCCATGCTAATTAGCATTCAAACTCTCTTTTTTGGGGGTGGGTGAAGAAGGCTTCAAAGCCTACAAATATAGTATTTATGAAACAAGGTAATATTAGAGTAGTAGTTTTTGCCACATTGTGTGAAACTGAAACTAAAATATTGTGTTTCTATGGAAGAAGAAATGATGAACCCAAATCCAAAATATCAAAAGATCTTAACAAACTTAACTCTTAACAGCAAAATAAAAATGTTTTTCGAGGCTGTTTTTGTCTTTGTGGGTAAATCACTTATTCGCCCTGTGGGGGCCTGTTTCCCTGGGCGACAGTTAGCTGCTCACAGAGGCAGGTGAGCAGTCATGTGATTGTACGTTGACAAGTTGTCTAATGCTGCTCAGCCCACCAGGAATGCGGGAAACTGGCCTTAATGGTTTCACCTCATTGGTCTGCTATTTTTACAACTGGCTGTTCCTAGATGTTTTTTTTTTATAGCTGCTGGTGTTGTTGTGTGGATTTACAGAAACACAGTCAGGTCTAAGTTTATTTAAACACCTCAGAGCTATGTCTATTTAATGGCCTGACATTTATTACAAGCCCACTCCTCAGCCACAAATAGCCTCGCTGCTGTTTGGAGCTGGAATAGTTAGCTTTTTCTCCATAGTGTGAGCAGTCGTTTGGAGTGTTACTAATGTGAGATGACAGGTAAAGTTGCAAGTTTCTCCCCCATACCAGCGCCCACTGCCGAGACTCTGTGTGAGTGTGTGTGTTCGTGGCGCAGCGGGGGAGTAGCCAGCAGTGTGTCCAGGCAGTAATCGGGTCGTAAACTCCATCAGGTTCTGTTTTCTCTGGAAGAGTTTGGAGGGACGAAGGGGAAGGTGGGCGAGAAGGAAGGAGGCAGTAAAACTCCGGTTAGCTCTGTCAGCTCTCCTTCAATCAACATGAAGACGGAGGGGGGACAGAGCAAAGCCGAGGAATGAGGAGAACATAAAACATGCAGTGAAAAAGAAAAAGGGGGGGAAGTCAAACAGGTTGGCAGAGAGCACAAGAGCAGCAGGACAAAAAAAATATATGGCTTCTTTGGGGTTTAAAAGTATTTGTAAAAATATTTTATAGAATGTTACAGCCTTCTGCGGTGGCAGATGGTTGGAGTTTGACACATGTGACAATAAATAAAAATTATTAGACTGAGTGTGGTGGGGGGCTTCTGTCCACCAGTCACAGCCCTGCATAGTCTCAGTCATCACTTGTCTCTAGTTTGTCAGTAGCAGCAGACATATGTGGTGCATGCAAACACACACATACACTTCGCAGACTTCAGAGGTCATCTTTAGGGGGGGTTGTAGAGAAAGAGGGGGCTGATGATTAGGGTTTCGAAGGCTATTTGTGTGTGTGTGTGTGATGATACAGAGTAAATGGTCAGCTCTGTCAGGTTAGCTGGTGGTCACAGCAACTGTTGTGATGAAAACACAATTTAATTTGAGTGAGAGAGACACTGGACCAACACATACGATAACACACACCTGGCCTAATACACAGCAGTCTTCTCTATTCTTCCGCTATCAGAGACATGATCCAGCCGGGGGGTTTTTTGTGTGTGTGTGTTTGCATGCACGGGCGTCCTTGTTGGAGGACTAATTGTAACTGGACCCAGTAATGAAGCTTTTCAGGGCTTCCTGTTGTGACTCTGTGCTCCTGTCTGGGCTCAAATACTCGTCTCCCAGACAGTAACCCAAACAACAGAACAATTCATGGCTGCAACGGCGTTTCAGATCATGTCAATATCTCAGTGCTATACCCCGGTATAATTACTGCAAGCAATGAAACCATAGTTAAAAGATATTTCCGGTTTATAAAAACCTGTAGCTTGTTTTCATGTTTCATGTTGATAATAATACCACTGTTCTTTAGCACATAAGATTTTCTGACATGTAACTGTAGGGAAAGTGCAGTAGTAAATAG